GCTACGAACTAGAGGAGCTAGGGCGACTTATACACCTGCGAATACTTTTTGCATCCCACTGTATTCCGATAAAGGAAGTGGGGCACACTCCCAGCCGCCAATCTACCCCCCCAGTTGAGGCCCTGCTGACCGAAACTGCTCACACATGAGGTTCCAGTCTCGATATTCCACTTGAATCCTTTTCCTCTGTGCCTCGGTTGATTCGAACCGTGAATGACAATCAAACTCAATTTGATTCGTCTTTTCCATCATCAGTTTGGAGTTTTTCAGCCCCCTAACAGGACGACAGCGCTCAGAATTCTGGGGTTGGCCTTTCTCACTACTTGGAAGTTGCCAGAGCCTTCTAGAAACAATTGTGTCCGTGTTGCTGGAACCATAACCAGATTTCCCAGTCTTGCTGATATCGGTGTGAGTAGTTGTAGACCGAACCAGTTACAAAACCTAACATTCTTTTCAGCCAAATTACGTTGGGGACTATACAGCGCTTTTCAAATTATCTTCATCAAGTATGCGCTTCACGAGCGGAAGTATAGCCCCAATGCCCGCCATCGATAATTCGCCTCGGCCAAGCCTTATTGATCAGTTATCGGAGTCTGCATCAGATAGTAATCATATGGACCAACGGATGCAGCCCTTAAACCACGACTACATAATGGATTGGTATGAAGAGCTTGCAGACCAGGTAACACAACCTTCGGCGACTTTGGTATTACGAGAACAAGACGGACGCCGCTACACTGTCTTGATGGCGGCTTGCAGATACCGAGATATTTTCTACGTGATATTTCACCAGCTATGCTGCTTGTGGTCTAGGGATAAAGCGGACGTGTACGAGATTTTCGGCTCCCGCGTAACGCCGCACGCCATTGACTTCACGTTCAACGAGATGCAAAGGATCTTGAACAACCACGATCTTTCCATCGCCAATTTACGATGGTTCGCCAATTTCCCTTGCCCATCAAAAGAACTCTTTACAGCTTTCCCAGAAGCAAGTCTCGCGGTTCAACTAGCAAGGTTCATAGTGAAGTTCTCGGCTCATTGGGAGTCATTGTTAGATCAAGCTGAGGCTGAAGACCGCCCTGTTGCAGGATCTGTGCTAAGAAGTCGCTTACATTGCGCTTCTCCAGTGCTGCGGTATATTCTTTTCGTCACCAGCTCCCTGCAGATTGGGATCGTGACAGGCCCCAATGCAGCAACATTAGACGATCAATTCGATAAAGACGAAGGCGAATGGTTTGGGGTTCGTGGGGAGACGGTACGCCAGGCTCTCGCGTTCGAGCATGCTGGCTTCGTGCATCGGCAGATACCATCATGAAGCTATGGACGGGTAAAGAAGGAAGGAGCCCATCTTGAGATATTATTGATTAGTAGCCAGTAAAGTGGTGTGGTGGTGGGGATTTCATGGCAATTGGGACATTCCCTCATGCGAATAGCGAGAGACACAAGTGTATGCCCAATGGGCTGGCCAAGTAACACCGTACACCTTTATCTATCCATCCATAAGAAACATTTATACCAGCCAATCTCAATAAAACTACCATGCATCATTCGCTCGGCTTCTCGCCTCTCCCAATGTCAAAAGTCCCAGTATTTCCTAAACTATTTAGCCAAGTCCCTATATCCTCCGAGAAACCCCTGGCCAAGTCCTCTTCTACCACTCCAACTTGCCAACAGCACGTCATGGTCAAAGCCTTGCCCTTAACAGAGACCACACTAAGAGTCAAAGCCGGCCCAGAAATGGCGGCAGCCTGAATGAATATGGCACGATCGACTTCCCAGCCACACCTCTCGGCAGCCTCCTCCCCCTCTGACCCTTCTTTGACTTCCATCACGCCGAGATTGCTGACTTCCAATGCGTGCGTACGATTTTTTGAGAGGCCTGCCAAGTACGACCTCCAGTCTCTGATGAGCTTGACCAAGCCTATGATGTCGTTTTTGGTACCCGAGTTGAGGTTCTCAAATATTCCCTGTCTTAATTCTTGGGCAGCGGACCAAGCCGTTGCCTCTAGGTCCATATGTGATTCGGGTTTGTGCTTGACATTGCGAACTTGCTTTCGAACCTTTGCCACGACGTTTTGGTCGAAGATATACGACCAGTAGGTAATACAGTTGAAGGCTGTCCTTTCCACGTCAAGTTTGTATGATCCTGGGCGGTGGAATTGTCGTAGACATACTGGGGTGCCACTCTCAAATGCTTGAGCCTTGGTTTCCGGGAGTCGCGTTGCCAATGACACGAGTGCAAGCGCGTGTAAGAGACCAGTGCAATATAGTTTGGTACTGGCGACATGCCTCTAAGACAGGTTGCAATGCATCCTTTCCAACCGTGATAAGTGCGAATCGCGTTATACACGGTTTTGGTTGAATAGGTGCCCACGTCGCTTTGTAAGATGAGTTAGATGGCTTGGACGAGGAATTTAGATCGCGTCTAGCCTGAGTGAACATATAGCTCAAAGGTAAGGGGGAACTTTATCAAGCGATGCAATGCAGGTGTGAGGGCCATGATTGGGACCTCGAATGATCGGTTTTTTAAGATTACAGTCTCTTTGTCCACTGAGTCAGAATTAAGACAAGCCAGTAAGCTGTCGTGAAAAAACCTTTCACCTTTGCCATCGCTGGCTGTATGATCCCATGCAGCGACGATATCGATGAACTTGGATTCGGCAGATCTTAATATGACTGATCTCCATTGTGGCCGGGCTTCGAGGTGTGTGTAATTGTTGTTCACCTGCAATTCCAATGTATCTTGGCGGACCCTGTCGTAGTCTTCGGATTCAGGAACTGTCTTCCACTCTACATGGCTGTTTAGATCAATGCGGTCCAGTCGTAACCCAGCATAGCTTTTTTAACTCGTCATTGACTCTACCAACCAGTGTTGCTAATAGTGTGGCAATAAAGTAGTATATTGCAATATAACCCATATGGTATGGACTTTCTCATATTGTGACAATATGATATGAAGATTTTGATATTGCAACAATATAATATGTGGATGTCCATATTGGCAATGGCAATTGATAGGGACGCATCAAGAATTGATAGGGGCGCATCGTCCTTAGGGACGCTCCAGCTTTTATAACATCCGATTGGCCCAACTTTTCAAGACCCATAAATACTTCACCATGAAGGCGGTGAAACCAGCTCCCTTAACAACCGTAGCTCTTGTTATTGAATTGCGCAGAGATGCTGGGTCTGCTTAGTAAAATTAAGGTGACTATTTTTATTAACGCGGTGAGATCTCTCTAGGGGTTTATATCCTATGGATTCCATCTAGGACTTTAAAGTGTGATCCTAAAGTCAAGGGGAAGCTCCCAATTATTCCAACAGTACTTCCTAGCCCAAAAGCAACTATATCGCTGATATTCTCTAAGAATGGATTGCGCAAATGTGCTAATATGCTAGGCATGATTTACTCCACAGAATTAGAATCATTCCGTTTAGAGCAGCTCTCTACTTTTTCTCTTACAGTGATTGAAGGAAGAATCTCTTCGTCGCCGTTCCGCAGCTCCCATTGACTTCTTTGTCTCCGAATACTCGGTTGCGTCTTCCGCCCACTAGCACGTACTCCTGTAGTTCTCCCCTCTCTGAGAACAGCCGACCGGCGGCGTGCCTGATGCCGGTGTAGGGTACTGGCTTGGCTGCTGGCCTGTTGGCTTGCAGCAACTTCCAGCCTCGCCAGGGTCGACCTATTCTGGCTTCTTGGTGGCCGACCGCGTCTACGCTCAGATGCCTTGCTTCTGGCTTGTTGACTTGCTCCCGATTCCATCCTGACCACTGTCGACTTGTTTCGATTGCTGGGTAGTCGACCGTACCCACGCTCGGAAGAGCCCATGCCATCTGGTTGACTCTCGCTTGATCTGATAGTTAGCCTTACCGGAACCACCTGCGCAATGTTCCTGGGTCTGCCACGGAGAGCTGTAGCAATCTTGGGGTCGAGAATCCGTCGGTATGGATCTTGAGCGGATGATTCTCGTAGTCGCCATCGTGGATGGACCTCCCATCTGGTGAATGACGCGGCGGACCCCAGCTTTGAATAGACCTTGTGGCAACAAGGGAACCCGAGCTCAACCGAGACTGAGCAGTCATCATTGCAGTCCCCGAGAGGCTTTGGGAACGGATTCTTACCGGTTGGCATCGCTTTGCGAGCTAAGCGGTATTGCTTGTTGATTAGCCCGAGGCCCTTCGACGAGATTACTGCCCGGAGGTCGCCAAGATACTCAGAGCTGGACCCCATATACTCGCGAGCAGTGAGGACCTCATCCGCTGCGCAGGCATCACTAAAGTCCCTCTCTTGGTCCTTTATCATGTCCTGCATAGCCTCGACAAGCCGATAGAGATGACTCATACCATTCAGAAGATAGCTCTTGATGTTATTGTTGCTGGCTTCTGTCCCAGATGTGACGCGGATTCCAAAATTGCGATACTTCCTGATGAAACAGCGGGCCCACTGAGCTCTTACAGGCATGTAAGTTCCATGGAGATACCGCAGAATAGCTCGTTGGTCGTCGAACTCTTTGCAGAGGTTTCCCCATGCCTTCTCGTGAGCTTCCTCGGTCTCGGCAAATAAGACGAACTTCCACATCATGAGGACTCCCTGGTAGCTATGAGGGATGACCTCAGATGATGTCGCATGGATAGATTGTTGATCTTTAGGGCTTAGCTGAGCCTGTCTCTGTGGGGCAGAGTCATCTCTCTCGGAGTCGTCGTGGCTGCTACTCCCATCGCAGCGGTCCATAGCCCACTTCTGCTTTGACTTGAGCAGGACATTCGAATTGATGTGGTGGATACAGAGCTGTTGCTGTATATCGGGAAACTGATCGTTCAATGCGGCTTTCATCTGTTCGTCGAAATCTGTAATGATAACATCGGGTCGTCGGATGGAGTGCTGCTCTGCAAGCTGTCGAATGCTCTCGGAGAGAAACTGAAACCCCTCCCGTCTCTCATTGTCGATCAACCCGAAAGCTGCATTAAAAACAGAACCAAGACAAGTTTGTCCTGTTGCCTGGAATAAGGGAAGCTTGAAGCGATTGGTATTATATGTATTGTCGAAGCTGATGACCTCGGGGAACCGCTTCCACATCTGAAGGCAGTAGGGAAAGGTCCAAACAAGTCCAACGAGACGGCTTGGCTCGTTATCCACCCATTTGGCGAGATAGGTAATATGCAGCTCGTCGAACAGCTTGATCAGTGCCGCGGTGGGAGTATAGCCACTCAGCTTGTCTCGATTGATGAGAGCCCGCGCGTTATAGATGTCCCTCCGCGTGAAGATTGACTCGGGATGCTGCTCTTGGACTACAGCCCGTACGTCACGGGCCTGGATACCTACCCGGCGGTTCATCGACTCAATGGTTGCCCTGACGGGTGTAGTAAGTCGTCTGTGGGAAGGATGTGCAGACGGTCTAATGCTACGATAATGGTTGTGTTGATTATGTTCCGGATTCGAGTGATGACGTAGAACCCATTTGCCTTCTTCTAGAGCTTCAGCAATCACCATCCACTTACATCCACACTTCCGGGATTTCCGCTGCCGAAGACCTGCGCCTCGGCTGGGTCTTGGGTCTCCGTATCGATCGCACCGAAGAGAATAGCGGATCTTCCTCCCCTTATACGAGCGGCCGTTGTGCTTTGCAAAGCCAAATCCATTAGCTTTCGCGAAGGCGTTGACTGAGTCAAGGAGAGTTTCGACTGTTGGGAATGGGTTGCCTGGGATCGGTGGATTCGGGATTGCATCCAGGGCGGGGGATGAGGAAATCCTAGGCGATGAAGATCTGATCTCTTCAGGGGATGGTGGCCGGCTGGACGGCTCTCGAGGCGGCGAGTAGGGAGGAGGGGATTCGAGCGCATCTGAACTGAGTGGTGACCAACCCCATCTCTCTCGCCATTGGCGTACTCGTTCGTACGACTGGGCAAGTTCAAGTGTCAGTCTTCGGTCTGTCCCGATTACTTCCTGCACGAGCTCAAGGGCAGATTGGAATTCGGCCCTTGCGGGCGACGACTGCTCTTGTGGTGATTGAGGGGGGAAATAGGAAGGTAAGATGTCTGTTTCTGGGCCTGGTATAGGTATTCTGACCCGCTGCGGTCGTCCTCCCCGAGATGGGAAATCGTTTGAAAGGTATATCTCGTGATCAAAGCGGAGCTCCCATAGTGGCTCATGAAGCCCTTGAGACCCATGGGGCTGTGGCGCGGTCGTGAATATCCGTGGGTAAGATGCAAACAGGTTTTCGATTGCATCTCCGTCGCCGGCTCCGTAGTACCGGCCGACACTTGTTCCAGTACTGCTTGCTGAGCGTGGTCTGCTCGCGAGGATTGGTGGGCTGAAACTAGCTTGCCGGCTCTGCCGCTGTCGTTTTCGAGAACGCGATTCGCAGCTAGGACTGGGGCTTCGGGCGTGACGTCTTGAATCGCTCTCTGAGCTAGGAGGTGACTCCGATTGGAGCATGACGAGAGACCTAATGATTGATGGTTGAGAGGCTGATGTTCGATCATCTGCTCATTTAGATTAAAGAGAGCTAAGGTCGGGTACTTCGGGAGCGTCGGCAGAATCCTGCCTGCACTAACAAAAAAGTGACTGACGAATCAGAGGCTGCAAAGCTGGAGCGTCCCTATCAATTGCCACGAGTGGATGGCTACTTGTTTTTTGAACAACGTATACTGTTGCTACTTGCCAGCCCATTGCTCTCACGGCTTACAGCCACTTGATAACGGCGTATTCAATGCCTCCAAGGCTACCTATCGCAAAGAACTCCAAAAACTGACAAGCCTGACTGATTCTGCCCCGGTAGACAAGGTCAACTTTATCAATGCTTATGTCAAAGCCAGGGAGGTGGGTATGACGAAGAAAAACATCCTTTCGGGCTGGAGAGTGACTGGAAACTGGCCAATTTCACGACGGGAAGCCCTCATACATCCTGAGATTCAGCCAGACAAGAAGGAAACGACGCCTGCATCAGACGGCCCCAGAGATGGACAAGTCGACTCTGATAATACGCCAAAGACCAGCCGTCATATTAGGGATCTAGGGAAGAACAAGAGCCCTTCAATGAGAAGACGGTACTCTGTGATATCGAAAGGCTTTGAAGCGCAAGAGTAGCCAGTTTAGAGGAGGAAGTTGGCCGGTTGAGCATAGGCAAGAAGAGGAAGGCGATACCGAATCCTAACAAAAGGTCCATGACATTGGCCGAAGCTCTAGTAGCTGTTGACGCTATTTCTAAGCCAAACCAAGCTATTGAAAGGGCAGATGCTGTTGAGGAAGTTATCGAGGGGGGAGGGATGGGAGAAGATGAGAGGTTAAATTCGGAGGCGGAAGAATTAACTGTGGTACGCACGCGGGCAGGGCGTGAAGTTCAAATACCGCAAAAATATTAAAATCTACTTAATTCTAAAACGAAATTCGAACATTATTCGCTCTTGTTATATTTGGTGGATTTCCTACATCTGGTTAAAAAATTGCATTTTGTATAGGGAAATATTTTTTTGCCTACCGGTAGGTGAGTACTGCATGGTTATAAGAAAGGCCCGGGACACGCCAATGCCACTTCAAGCCGCTCATCATCTTCTCCTGCAAGTCGTTCATATCGATCCATCCTAACACCACCCGTCCATAGCTTCTTGAACACCCATTGGCCCATTCAGCGGCATGGATCCCTTCCATTCTTTGCCAACAAAGGGTGTGTTTCGTCTATCCAAAAGGCAATCATGATCGCAGATATCATGATGAACAGTCCACATATGAAGTTCGGTAAGGCGAAGAGAAATCTCGACGTCTAACTAGAGTCACTGTCCTTTCTAGATTTCTTCAGAATAGTCATTTCGCCACTATCTGATTCACAAGGGTCGGCTAGAAAACCACCCAACAAAGCTCCTGACATTTAGTTGGGATTTGTTGAAATGAGCATGTTATATTTTTGTTGAAGAACATGAAAGATCTGCGTCAACCAACGACAGCTACATACAAGAATACATCCACATCCCAGCCACCAATGGATCGGAATAGCCATTGATATATCAAAGCAACGGATCTCAACAAGCACACCACTGCGCAGCCATCCGTTATCGGCCAAGTCCGAAGAGACTTTGTTCGCGCCGACGGATAAGAAAGGGTTGAGCAAACTTGCCGAGAGTGCGTCAAGTGAGCGGCCATGGCGGACTGTCCGCGAAGAAATGAATTGGATTATGTCTGTAATTAAAGTCTAGTACTTGACCTGGAAACAATAGCCTTCTCTCTGTGCAAGAGCATTTCAACTCATTCAGGCTTTTTACCAATTACCACCTTTCGTGGTGTATAAATCTGGTATTCTTTCGAGCATGAAAGTATCTCGTTCCGCACTCTGGCAGCAAAGACATGAGTCTCTTTCTCGCTCCATCCAAGATCTTCAATCGCTAGACGAAGGATTGACCCCACGATGTCCAAGGTCAAGATCGCCAGGGCAAATTTGCCTAATGTTTTGCCTTCTTCCGATTCAGGCCACGGACCAATTGGTATCTGCAATTCCCAGTCTTAGTAGTGAAAAAGCGGAGAGTTGCAGAGCTATGCGCTTACCTCGTACTCATATGCTGTTATGTCCTTGAACCCAGCAGCTGCCATCTCCTGTTGCAGTGTTTCGTTGTTCGCGACCAAGAATGGCCTTCGCTTTTCCCTCACGGCTCGAAAAAATTCCCCCCACTGATTCATATAACTTTCCTTTGCCAAGATCACCTTTCTGCTCCTGAATTCGATGGGCCCTTCGTGAAACTCTGCAACGCCCCCTGGGGCAAGGGCCCTGAAAACTTCTTTGGTGAACTCACGCCAGTTGACACTCCCATTCAGGTCCCGAGCATGTATGTAGTCGAACGAGGATTCTTTGAAGGTCCATTCTCGGCCGCAATCGTCGATTTGGCTAGATAGATGTTAGCAGTGTGCTATAGAATGAGACCTCAGTAGTCTCACAACTTGAGGTTGGGAGGGACCCAGTTGGGTATGATGGGTGAGATGTCAATGCCTATAACATCAGCATCAGGGTGTTCATCGGCAAAATCTCTGAGATATGGTTAGTCACTGCCTTGGGCACTCGATGGGAATCTTGGAGACATGCATAGCCCAGATACCTGAAGATGTACTCGTTAGATGAGACAATGGGGATCGAGAAGCAGGTTTATCATACCAGTTCCTGTCCCTACGTCTAGGACGCGCTTATTGTATCGGTTAGCTGATGCCCACGAGATGATGAACACAGTAACAATACCGGACTGCCACAGGGTATCGTGGCTTTATGAAGGCCTTCTAAAAGTTCAGAATAGACATGGTGGCTTTGATGCAGAGTCAACACAGCATCATGCAACATCAGGGGTAGCACTCACAACCCATCCCACATCTCTTGCCGTGTCTCGTCATTCGGTTCCCTGCACAATCTCAGCAATCTATAACTGATGACACGTCTTCTGCTTACCAATGATAGCCTATACCCTCGTTGTGATATTGTCGGCCAAACAACTGCTGAAAATTCTCGGCTACGGTGTCCACCGAAGTTGTGGACGCGGTGTCCAGGTCAAAATAACCCTCGTCATCAAAATCCACATCGCCGCGGCCTGTAAACGCGTCATCGTAATCGGCCTGGGATATGCTTTCGTGATCCGTCTCAGATTTCAACCAATGGTCGGAAGTGTCGCTGTAGTCGATCGTAGATGTCTCAGAAAGCGCATGATCGGCCCTAGACTGGGATCGCGTGCAATTACCGGTAGAGACACGCTCTGTAACCGAACCGTTCTGCTGTGACAGTTCAGGATGATACTCGCTGCTACTGCCGAGAGGTCGAGACTTAAGTGGCATTGTCTCGGACGGAAAACTGGAAAGGATATTCTTGTGTCACGACGTTGAACGAGTGTACGAAGCGGCCGAGGCGGCGATAGATCGGTAGGCGACCCTGGAAAACGAAGCAGGTGGCAATCTAAAGACTTTTGTACAATGTTAGAAACTTATGTCATCGAGGAGAAGTCAGGGATTACGCAAGAAGATGTCCGGTGATTTTCAACGCGAACGGTAACGCGACATGACGAACCTTGCAGCCTGGCCATGTCCGGCTCGGAACAGCGGAGTGCCAACCAGACACAGAACGACTGGTGGTGCGGTATTGATACCAGTTGCCTAAATTGCCAATATCATAGGGTTTCCCAATTCTGGCATTCTATAGGACAATTACAGTCCTGTCCACGTTGGTCTGAGCCTAATGCTGAGCGGACCAACAGGACTATGGAGGGAGTGCTTAGCGACATGACCTTCTCCAAAAAGACCTCCAGAAGTTTGTTCGGAAAACAAAGTTCTCTATTTCTCAGGATGTACCGGGGAGGTCTGGCCCAGTCCTCGAGATTTGAGAGTGGGAGGCGGCGCACGGCAGGTAGTGCCACTCCCGCATACTTGATCTCGACCCCCCTACCCCGCGGCGCAGTGCGCCCGTGCCGAACCTTAATCCTGGCGTCACTTTCTGCCCGCATGTCAATGTTAGCTTCGGCCCTGCATCGACCGTTGGGCACTTACCGAGCTTCCGTAGGCGCTCCCCCGTGACTCGCTCCACCCACAGTGTCACCCAACCCGGACCTTCCCCTGGTTTCTCCCCGTCTTAGGCACACCAGTTGTTGAATATGTGCTGGAAGAACTGACGGTTCCCGATTCAATTTCAGAAATCAAATTAAGGTTTGAAGTCCTGCACTTAGATTGTAGGGCTTTCATCGACAGTAGGGGCAAAAGTATTCGCAGGTGTGCAAGTAGAGCTGGCAGCTCCTAGCCTCTTTAGTTAAGAGCTTAACTGAGGCTGCGTACTGGCTACGGATAGAATCATATTAATTACCTGAAATCCTAGGTATAGGGAACCTAGCCAGCTACCCCTGATTAGCTTCTGAACTGTAGATCTACAGTGGGATGCAAAAAGTATTTGCAGGTGTGTAGGTAGGTCTGATGCTTGGAAGCTAGACAGGGGTAGCTTGTCAGGTCCTCAATACCTTATATTACACTTAAATCAGGGGATATCCTAGTATTAGGTATCTAAACAAAGCTAAGTTACTAACTAGAGGAGCTAGGGCGACTTACACACCTGCGAATACTTTTTGCATTCCACTGTACTTGCACACCTGCAAATACTTTTTGCCCCCCACTGTATTCTCTTGGACCATGTCCCTGTTGAATTCAAGCTCATGCATACAGTGAGATGCAAGAAGTTTGAATCCAGGCGCAAGTACCCGCCTCCTTGCGAAGCCGATCGGTAGCTATCACTTTGCTCTGCTTGTGCCTCATCAAGTTAGCTAGTTGCCTACCTAGGCTAGATAACTACCCGATATAGCTAGTCACCATTCTGACAGAACTAGAGCGACAAGGCAGATACTTCATCTCAAATTCAAACTTATTGCACCTCACTGAAGCACCTGTCGAAGCTGCCTTACTATTTGAGATCCTAGTGATCGCTTTCCCACTACGTTAGGCTTCTTTGGAGTCGGAAAATCTGAAAGCTAAATCTCCCGATATAATCTCCTGATATTTTGACTTTGTGTGATAGTCAAGACCCCGGATTAAGAAAAAGACAGGACTGGCTTACGCCAAAATCCGCTGATTCCACTTATTCAGTTCCCTGTTTTATTTGGTCCCCTAGACAAGTCAAGATTTCCAAAGAGACCCACAGGAAGCTCTGGATAACCCCTCTACAGATAACCTGCCCCTGCAGTATTCTCAAGTGCCGAAGCCAACGGCCGCACCCTGATCCCTTACAATTAATGCCAGCTATGATCTGCCGGGCCGTACAACTCAATAGGACTAAGGAGGACTCGAGATTGTAATGATTACTGTATAGGGCACATATAAGACGTAGATGTATCATGCTCGTTATATTCATTATTATTAAATTTATAAACCTGGAAATAGCTAACGCCATTTGTTGAATTGGAGATATGCTAGCTAGGATAGCACTTAGCTGTGTACTTAAGCGAGGTGCCTTGCGTTTTTGCCGCAGCTAGCCATTCAACAACAAGACCCTTTGTGAGGAGATTGAAGGCCTTATCTCAGATAGCACGGCCCTCCCGCGCTTCCCGGAATACGGAGGCCGCGGATCGCGTAGCCGGCCTTCTTTCTACATAGGGGGTAAAGTGGAGGGGGCGGTGACACCGCAAGCCATCCGCGGCTCCTCGGCTGCCCATTACGGGCTGGCCTACTCGTCAATGCTGAGTCCGGCAGCAACTTGGCCACGGCAAATTCGTGTTATTAGATTCCTTATGTGACAATTTAATGGGAGCTTCCTTCGAGAGCAGCCACAATTCTCAATAAGAGCACGGACATTAATTTAATATATTGTTGTCCAGTGCCTCAATCTGTCGCTTGCTGGCCATCATAATATAAATTAATATATCAACAGACGGCTAGACCAGCGTTGGTAAACTCTAAAAAAGCGGTCAAGAAGCTTACCAAGTGCTGATAGCAGTATTGCAGACAGTATTATACATTGTGTAATGTATTCCCCTCGTATTACTCCACTGTAAACAGAAAAGTTAGTTGTAATTCAAACAACTGGGGCGCGATCTAAAATTTATTGCTGCTCCGTAAGTTCCGAGAGTTGCATTCTGTGGGCATATTAAGACTTAGAGCTTTACATATAAATAGTCCACGTTCAGACTTAAAACTATTTCCCTCCAGACTACTATTAAAGCATTACCTGTTCACTTTATTTATCGCACTTATCATCACTAAGATTTACCACCTAAGATTGTTTGAAATGCAGTTCTCATTCTTACTATCAGCTGTTGCTTTAGCCTCGAGGTATGTTATGCTCCGTTCATCTCGATCTAGAGGTATCTTCGCCCTATATTTAGCTCATAAATGTGGCTAATATTGTGACATTAGCGTCTCCGCCCAGGCCACGCGTTATTGCTGCTCTATAAATGACGCCGGCGAGATCGTGATGCGTGATGGCTATACTAGAAACTGCTGCGGCGCTAATACGTTTCACGGAGTGAGTTTTTCCATTTACTATGTTAAGCTGTTTAATATATTATAATTTACTAATAGAAGTGTAACATCTTAGTCTAAATGCACTGTGGCTGGAAATACTACACCTTTTGATAACTGCTGCCGGGGTAACCGTGATATTGGAGTTTGTACCTAGTGATTTACACACTTACAGCCTATATAGGCAGCTGGAACACCTTATTGATTGCTACAACTATAATTAATGCGCAATCCATTGCCCTGTGGTGTAATAGTCAGAGGTGTGTTATAACACTTTAATCGCATTTAGCTAGGAGGTATCCCTTTTGAGTACTACAGCCCTTTGGAGGAGGGCCTGAGGCACCTGCCTTATCATTCCCTTTTGCAACCTTAAGCTCCTTGGTGATACCGCAGCTGGGGCGGGCTGTGCCTGTAGCTCCGTGACCGACTTCTCGAAGGGCACGGAAGAGATTGGGCGAGGAGAAGAGGTTATCCCCAATAAAGAAACCAAGTCTTCTTTGAGTAATCTGATACGTAGATATAACTTATTTACAGGCGGTGCAGTATTCTGCCTGTTCTTGAGTGGTTCAACGTCTCGCTCCAACTGCTCCATGCGCCGTCCAAGACCAGCTCGAGATGCCCTTTGGGCCTCTCGATCTTTGGCCCGCCTTTGCGAAAGCCGCGAATTGTTTATTCCTGATACACATCGATTTTCTGTGTCTAGTCCTGCGTCAGTGGATTTAGTCGCAGATGAGGTCTATCATTATAACGCACCATGGGAAGCCTGGTGAGGCCCAGCTGGTGAGTGAGGAGACATTTGAAGGGCTGACTCTTGGAAAGCGGTATTTGGTATGGATACTTCGGTAGGGAATACTTCGTGGACGCGGTCTGGGTTGTTTCCACTCTCTGATCTGAACCTTGCCAAGGCAGCAAAGGCCGCTAGATCGAACAGATGACAATGTAGAGCCGAGGGCCGAGAATTACACTTCAGCATGGGTTATGTATTGAAAGGCGTGGGTATTGTAACGCGGCAATTAAGCTTGGCCTATTTCTGCTCGACAAGGATCAAAGTTCGCCATGTGAGGGCGAAGATGTCTCACATCGAACCATCATGCTCGTTACGTGTCGGAATGACCGACAACGTGCCCTCCAATGATCTACATAATCGGAACCACTGTCCACAGGCAGAAGAGCGTCCTTAATTGTCTCGGCGCTTCCCGTTGACTAGCTTTTAGTAGGCCAGCAAGGATTTCTACAATCCTTTGTCAGCCCCAATCACTTGCACCACCCCGGAGCTTCGGGTTCCAAAGCAGAGTCATGCAAGGGTTAATGTAGAGAGACCAGGGACGCGTATGCTCTCCAATGGACTCTGTGCACATGTTGCGTTGATTGTTGTACCGCCGCATTGATAGAAAATATCGGCCCGGTAGCAAGCAGAGTTTCGGGTTTGTTCTCAAAGGATTTACGGAGGTTGGGCCCAAAAGTTCATTGTGAAGGCAAGGCGTCTTGCATATATCCTTAGGCACGTGTTACAACGCAACCAGTTTTAGCCTCGATCGTCCAGATATGGCTTTTGTTTGCCTCTCCATTACCACCAACGCAGCCTCGATACTGGAGATGCTATGCGGTGAGCCCCGAGCTAAGCATTTGGCTGGATAGGTGATGCATCTTCAACTCGTCCTGCAGGGGTCGGGTGATACAGAGATTGTAGGCTATGTTGAGGCTTCTTACCGATATTTAGCGTGCACCTCCTTCTTTGCTGGCAGTACTACCACGTAGGTTTGCTCTTCCTCGTATCATCCGTTCTATAATCTAACCGTGGCAATTGTGTTCTCTAGGCCGACGCTTGTTGATCGTTAAGGTTA